CTTTTTATATATATAAACATCTTAAAGATGTATCTTGTATCGGAGGTGTAGTCTATAGCGAAAATTATTTTTAATACAAGTGTTTTTTATTTTTTGACGGTAACAGGCGAAAAATCGGATTTTCATCAGTTTGGCTTTGTTGAGGTTGTGGTTCAGTGGAGAATAAACAAACATCTCCACGATGATCAGCGTGATCGATTACCTATGATCCACGTGTTTTTGAGATTTGTAGACGTGTCTGGAACCAGACAGATGTGTCCTCGGAAAACGTCTGTATGTCTGGACTCAAAGGAGACGAAGGTCTAGATCTTGCGTGATTTTGGGAAGTGGTGTCCTGGCTATCAACTGGTATTATTTGAGATTGGATTTCATAGTGTGGTTTGGGAACGCTAAGCTTTCAGATTTTGTCTCGAATAGTACACCATGGTAAACCTTATCGGGAGTCCTGACGTTTTCATAGATTTACGTTCCAAAGTGTCTAGTTTTAGAATCTGAAAACCGCAGTTCCCTAGCTCTCTTCGTTGAAAGCTATAAGCATTTAAACTCATGTCTGTTTAAACAAACATCGGGAATGAACGGGTTAATTTATCGCTTGTAATTGGACGTGAACGTGCATCATCTGCTGTTTTAAGCATTATGAGGTATTACTTTTTATGTAAGACTGTAGAAGAATCTTTCACAATAGGCTTGAGTAAGAAAACGAACAACTAGCAGGAAAGGAAAATTTTTCCTTTTCCCATAAGCCCATATTCGTGATTAGTGTCAGAAACTGGATCGAATAATGTGTCGTTCAGTCAGGTGTTTCAGCAATTTGTGCTACAAAAAAACACTTGTATTAAAAATAATTTTCGCTATAGACTACACCTCCGATACAAGATACATCTTTAAGATGTTTATATATATAAAAAGATTAAGATATACATATAGTGTAGTGAAATTTTTCTTTCCTTCCAGCTTATGAAAAGAAACATAGAACGTGACCTTTGTACATAACTATAGAACATGGACATTATGTCTTTTATTGTCTTTATATGTCCTTCCTTATAGACATATTGACATTAAAGATCAAACACACCACCTACCTTATTAATGTTAGATGGTCTGTTTGATCTTTGATGTCAATATTCTTTACTTTTTATTTTTCATTTTTATTTTCGGATCTTGTTTATGACACATGCGGAAGAAAATGACGTAACAAAAGAGCAGAAAAAGAAAAGTACTGCGATGAGATTGAATTGTTGTTTTGCACCTGAAATACTTTTTCAAATATGAAAAGTGGTTTCCCAATCTATCAGACTTCATTACTATTTAGTTTAAAAGAAAAGAATAAATTAAATGTAAACTCGAACAAAGCCGTCTATTGTTCTTCGGCACATTGGGCAGGTACGAAGTGAATGACCGCACGGCACGCACGTTGCTACATGTCCACACGGCATACAAGCGAGTCGTCTTTCATCGGTCAAACACACAGTACACATGCTGGTATTTAAACTCGGACTCAAATTAAAGGCTTGAGTTTGACTCTTTTGTGGTTCAGCTAAACTTTCAATTGTATTCAGCAATGTTTTCTGTTCTAAAATAGACATAAAATGTGAAATTAGAATTAGATCTAATGGAGATCTATCTTACCTTTCATATTCTTATCCGTTATTTCTTGGAGTTTTTTATATGGGATAATAATCTTTTCTTTTTTGCCGTCGATCACATCAATCTGTTTTTGAAGAATCAAACATGCTATATGCAGGTCACTATCATCTGGAAAGTCCTCAACTGTTAAATAAAGAAAAATTTCAAGAAGATGATGGAAAGAGTATCGACGTTCAACGTACGTTTGAGTCTCAGTTGATTTTCGTAGCATCGTTTTATAATCGATAGTCTATACTTGTGTAACAGATGTTGAGATATTGGTAAATCTAGACGAGCTGCAACATATTTTGACAATGTATTATCATCGGGTATCGATATTTGAGTACTGGAAGATGTGTGCGGTTGTTTTTGATCTGAATTAAAGACAGAATATCTTACTTATTGAATTCTATAGCCTAGAAAGGAAGAACGAACCTCGTCTAGCTTGTTGGATTTTCTGAAATAATTCATCGCCGCACAATTGTCGAATGTAAGCACAATGAGGAAACCAGCGAGCGTGTTCAATTGTCGGATTATCCTTGGCTTCCCAGTTCTGTAGTGATCCATTACAGTAGAAACATGAGACAATCGTTTGCGCGCCAGAGTAGAAAAAGCCCGCTTTTACTATCTCGTCCACTGGTGGTAATGCTTTATCTTTGGGCCATTTGGCAAATGTTGCATGTCGTTTTGGTATTTCGACAAACTTTTGATTACACGCCTGAATAGGAACAATTTCACAGCTAGAAAGAACATTGGATGTTTCATTGAGAATGAGTGGAGTGGTCGCCGTTGAGAATAGAAGATAGGATTGGACGAAGCAGCAATCGGGTGATAGTACTCGATGAACTTCACTTGGATCATCGGTAAGAATAAACTGTTGGCAGATCAAATTGCAATAAATGCAAATGACCCGATCGCCAACATTACAGTTGAAAAAGCCGCTCGCGATCATCTGACTTTTTGTCGGCTGTTTCAATGGCCAATGGGAAAATGTATGTTTACGAACATCTATCACAGATTGAACTTCATTAAATGTTCGAACGTGTTTTTTCCGCTTTATTCCCACATCAGCCGGTGTTTCACTTGATGTTGACAATGGTCGTTTTCGATCTGTCGACATCGGTTTCAGTGTGTCCGTCGAAGATTTGATTCGATCGAGCGCATCGCGAAACGCTTCATAGTACTGCTGAGTTGTCGATAAAAACTGTAATTGTGGTTCAGTCGTTATGTTCATGGCTAGTGCTGTAAACAAGCATAGAAAATGTGTCTTATATCCTTCTCTTTCGTAATTGCATCTAATTACAATCAGAAAAAATGATTGTGTTTGTTTACTTTCTTATACACGTTTGATTGAGCAATAACATATTACTATTGAGAAAGAATAAAAGAAGAGAACAAAATAGAAAGTCCTCTTGTTACGAAATGTATGTTACGTACACGAAATTTGTTCCTATTATCTTAATATACATTACAAAGATTGTCTTACTTATATACTATTTTCCAAACCTTGTAAGATAATTTATGGGGAAATCCCAAACAGCAGAAAGAGAAAAAAAGAGTGGGAGAAACGTACTCATCCTCTTTTTTTTCCCCGAAAAATAAAATAATTACTTGACTAAAACAACAATGTGAAATTTAGACGAAAGAAAATTGCGATTCAAAATCTGATGAAACTTATTCATTTCAAATATTTACAATGATTAATATATTTTCTCCTATTCGAACGTATATGAGTCACTATTTAAAAAAAAGAAAATATTTTCATTTTCTCTGTACAGTAGTTTTCTGTTGAAAATGAGCGGTTAAGATCGAAATATTCAGAGTAAATAAAGAATATGATGAATTTCAAAACAGCTGCCCTATTAATCATGTTTTTGAATTGGAGGTTGTTGCCCTTAGAAGATTTAGAATATTCAGTTCATAGTTAAACACACCCCCTTAGTTAAACACAACTTCTTTTCGCCGTATCAGTTCGGATTTCGTTCCAAATCGTCTACTGCTGACGCTCTTGTATACATCACACATTCGATCTATACCAATCTCGATCAGGGAATTGACACTGTTCTAGTTCAATTGGATTTTGAAAAATGCTTCGATCGTGTACTACATCAGATTGTCTGACTAAGCTTTCCGCTCTCGGAGTAAGGGGTTCCGCAGTTAAGTGGTTCTCTAATCATCTCTCTAATCGTTGTCAGCGGGTACGAATTGGAAACTCTTATTCGAATACGATTGCTGTTCCATCCGGAGTGCCACAAGGTTCCATCCTTGGACCACTTCTTTTCTTAATTTTCATAAACGACCTGTCTTCTATTATTGTATCACCTGCATCACGCACCTTATTTGCGGATGGCTGTTCTTTGTTAAATCCCGTTTCTGATCTTTATTTAGTTTCAGTCTGTCAGAAAAATATTGATCGTATAAATGTATGGTGTCAATCACACCTTATGTCGTTAAATTACAGTAAATGTTCATGGTTACTTTTTTCCACAGACTTCAACACAAAGCGTATTCTCTCACGATAGACGGCTCATTAATTAAAAGAGAATCATCAGTTATACTTCTGGGCCTTCGCTTGTCTTGTAATTTACATTGCGGTGATTATATTGACGATCTTGTTCTCGCGTGTCGTAGGAGATTAGGAGCATTATATCGGTGCTTTAAGATTGCACCTTCTCTTATTCGTCTATCAATATTCAAAGCTTGCATTTTGAGTAAACTAGACTACTGCGCAATTGTTTACGATACTAAATTTGCCCACCATAATTCGCGTAATGATTCTGTAATTAAATTGAATTCCAGAATTATCCTTAAAAGGTTTGATGGTTCTATGTCTTTGCTGTAGCAAAAGCTTAAGTTACCTGATTTATATAAAAGAAGAAAATACTTCCGTTTACTTCATTTCTACAAAATTTTAAATAATCATTCCATTTGGCCACACATGAATC